TAAGACAAACCTTAGCATGTAGGTTCACAGTCTAGTGAGAAAGACAAATGTGCAAATGGTGGTAACAGTATACTTTGTGCTAAAGGATCAGGGCACCGGAGGAAATATCTCTGCAACTGAGTTATCATCTAGTATAAAGATGCACACATCAACAGGCAGTGTAAGCCCAGGGATGTGGGTGCTCAGTGTTTCCATCCCCTAAAATTCATATATTATACCCTAACCCCTAATGTGATAGTATTAAATGGTGGGACCTTTGGAGAGGTAGTTAGGTGAGGGTGGTGCCTTCTTAAATGGAATTTGTGTCCTTATAAAAGTGTTAAAGGAACCTGTCTGTCCTTTCCACCATGTGAGGCCGGAGCCCTCACCAGACACCAAATCTGTTGGTGTCTTGGTCTTGGACTCATAACTATTCAGAACTGTGAGCAAGAAATTTCTATTGTTCATAAATAACTTAGTCTCGGGTATTTGGTTACAGTTCCTGCAATGGAATAAGATGGTACAGGAGATGTATGAACAAGTGCTAGGTGCACAGTGACCAAGGAACTCTTGGAGCAGTGGAGGAAATCTTGGAACCAGGATGCCATGAGAAGAAAAGTGCTCATCAGACCAGGGAGCCAAGGTGCACATCTGAAAACCACTGAAGGAGAGAACAGGCAGGGATGGTGGTCCAAGTTTAGAGGGTTGGCTTACGAATTCAGAGTGGTTACCAGAGCGAGTGTGACACAAAGCATATCTTTAATGTTTCAAAGCATACCTTTTGTTGAAGTATAACACAAATAAAAACACACGGATCATCACTGTAGAGCTGGGGAATCCATACGAAGGGAACCTACATTTGTAACACACCCAGTTCTGAGACAAGCCCGTGTCAGTTTCGTCTGTTAACCTGGACAGGGTTAAGTGAGTGTTGGAGAGTGGCTGGGGTTTGCTGTGCTCATCAGTGGATTAATGTGCTGCTGTGTGTTGGGGGCTCAGTTGAAGGTGGGTCACGGGCGGGGTGGCCTCTTTGGAGGGTGTCACTATCGCCTGCACTCTGCCTGTGCTCTGCTTCCCTACTGCCCTGAATTGAGTTTTGTTCCGCCAGGCTCTTGAGCCACCATGCTCCTGCCTTGGAGTTGGCCAGCTGTGGGCTGCAACCTGATCCTGTGATCCAGAAAAAAGTTTTGGATATTCGGTTTTTTATCCCAGGAAATGGGAAAAGTGACTGATACAGAGCTCGGAACAGAATGTCATCGCCTCTGAAGTCAACTAGTAGTTTCCAGTCACTTCCTCTTGCCAAAAGTAACCATTCTGAGTTCCAACAGGATATGCCAGTTTCACCAGTTTTCGTTCAATGGAATCTTATAGAATGTGCTCATCTGCATCTGGTTTTCGAAACTCAACATCTGTGCTTGGTTATTAACGAACAAAGTTACTAACATTTTCTTTCTTTCTGTTGATGCATAAAACAAATATTCTTTTGGATCTCTACCTAAATATAAGATAACGAGACCATACATAGGCTGGGAATATGCTTAGCTTCTTACCAAATTCAGATTGTGGGGCTGGGAGTCCTCCGTGGTAGTCTCTGCCTAGCATCACAAGGCCCTGGGTTCAATCTTTAGTACAGGGGCAGGGGGTAAAAAAAAAGAGCAGGTTCTTATGGCTCATGTTTAGATATCTCATGGAAGTCTCATGTGCTCAAGGTGGGGCTTTGAGGGGTGGCTGGATTGTGGGTGTGTGATACCTGAATGAGTCTACCGATTGGTTTAGCAGAGCTCTGGGTGTGGATAATGGTAAGGACCACCCTGGGCCTGGGTGGCACCAACTGTAGGCTTGTAGCCTGGAGAGAAGGAGACTCGCTGGCTGCTTCTTGCCTGCCATGCCATGGACTGTTTCTCCTCTGCCATACCGTCCTGCCTTTGAGCCAGCAGACTAGAGACTGAAGCTTCTATCATCTGTGAAATAAGCCTTTCCTCCTTTAACTTGTGGGGGTTCGGTATTTTTTCCCAGTACCAAGAAAGTAACTAAGAAATGTATCGAAAAATTGAGCAAGGCAAGTGTTCTGGGAATGAGGAGTTATATTATGCAAAGTATCTTTGATTTGATTTCAAGAACCACAGACAGACAAACAAACAAACAAACATCAGCTTTAATCAACTTAAACAGAGGGAAAGTCTACCCACTAGGCATTGACTAAAGCAAAGATCCAGAATTGGGATCAGTAAGGATACAGGCAATTTAGGTCTCCAGGGACTTGTAGCTGGCATTTCTCATGGCTGTGTCATCATGGACTGCAAACGGGCCTTCTCTGCATCACAGAAATCAGGGCTGCTAACATCCAATTTCTTAGTGACACATTAGTGATTCTAGAAGAAAAAGGTGACTTCTGTTTCTCACCTCAGCATTCACAAATTTCAGGTAAGGACTCTGGTTAAGAGCAGCTCAGGCTACAGGAGAGGAGGGCCACGATCAGGCAGGCCTGAGTCCAGGAGGCCTTAGGTGTCACATGCTACAACTGGCAGCCCCGATAGGGACTCTAAGAAAAGCGTGGCAGTCACAAAAGGGAGAACTGCTGAGCAGGGCCAGGCACGCTGCTAAGTTCTTGAGGTATTAGAGTCACTTCTTTCATTTGTTTCTGTCTTTCTCTTCCTGACTTTTTTTTTCTTTCTCTCTTATTTTCTTTTTTTGTTCTCACTTGCTTCTTTCCTTCTTCTTTTGTGGTTCTGGGTTTTGAACCTAGAGATCTCAACAGCCCTTTGTATGTTCTTTGAGCAAGTTTTCACTGAGTGGCCCAGGCTGGCCTCACACTTGAGATTCTCCTGCCTCACTCACAGTCTCATGAGTACCATGACTGGGATTAAATGACTATGCCAGCGTACCTTGCTGTTATGCATTTTGATGCTCAAGACAGGAGTTAGGCTCGTTTTGGTGACACATGCATGTGATATTTACTGAGGAGACTGAGTCAGGGGTATCACAAGTTGAGAGCAGCTTGGAAAGTTTAATAAGACACTGCCTCAAAACTGAAAAAATTTTGAAAGGCTGGAGGCACGTCTCAGTGGTAGTGTCCTTGCATAACCCAGCACTGCAAATGATTGTTACAAAACCCCATTGCTCAGTGCTGTGACGGGAGATAACAGGGTGGGGAGCTGACCCCATATCAGGAAAAGCCTCATGGAAGAGGAGCCCTGGAAGGGGTTCTGTAGGATTAGAACAGTGTAAGAATGAAAGTGTCTAGTACAGACATGGGCTGTATCTCTGTATTCCAGAGAGTCAAAATTTGCACTCTGGGTCATGTAACTAGAAGGGTCTCGCTCCACAGTTGACTCCAGACTGTTAATTCTAAGGGAAACCAGCAGATTTCTTTTAGGATAGTAAACATCAAGTCTGGCTTTTCAGTGGCAGAAGTCACTGGCTTCTAAGTTAGTCTGATAGATGACAAAATAGTCTTTCATTGATGAAATTAGGGGCATTAAGCATATTAATTCAATATATACCAGCTAAAGCATTTGAGATTTCTTTCCCAGCTCTTCATAACAAGGTCATCAGAAGCTGTGGAGGCCTGCCAGCCTGCTCTCAGGATGGCGTCCAAGTCGTGATATCTAAATGAATGGAAGATGATCATGGGTGCTGATGGCATTACAGTGATCTTGGGGCCCAGTTTCTATCTGACTAATGTGTTTGTCTTTGTTTACCTTTACTGTAAAATACTGTCAGATTACCTAACAAGACAGAAACCCATGTTTCAACAAACCCTCAGAAGAATGGTAGAAATGGTCTTTGGCCTGTTTGCTAAACCGTGGCAGGAAGTGGACCTGAAAGTTGTTTTTATCATAATAAAATAGTGTAGAAGTGGTATCTAGGGCCTACCTTTCCCTTCCACATGACCAAGCAGATCTAGGTCAGTTTACATCAAGGGATTCATGGGTGATACAGGGAAACTGGGTCCCCTGCTGGAGGAATGCTGCAGGGGAATTCTCAGGAACTAGCAGGCAGGTGGGTTGTCTGGGGTGTGGTCACCTGGGAGTGACAGAGGACAAGGTGTCCCTCCCGAGGGACTTCTGTTCTCTAATGAGCTCCGTCTTTACCCTTAAACTAGCTTTTTTGAAAGTGTGCCTAAGGGTTACTACATCAGATTATGTGGGGGGATGGCACCCTAGATTCTGCTTTTAAAAGAAAGCTCTCCAGGTGAGAATCCAAGAATACAGTTCTTAAACCCTGGGCTTGGCTCTGGAAGGTGCTGATGAGGGGTACCGGTGGCTCGGTGGTATAGCAAAGGACAGGCAGGTAGAGCACCAGAGGAGTGAGAATGGGGTCCCAGTCATTGGTCAGTCACTTCTGGGACAGGTTTAATGATGGTGCTGGGGAGGAGGAGCGGTCTGAAGGCACTGCAGGTAGTGACCAGCCTGCTGGAGTCCGTGCCAGGCCGCGAGGAGGGCTGGAGGGGAGCAGCCAGCGGGCTCTGTGGGGCCTGCCCATTTGTGCCGGGAAAGCAGGTGGAAGCATCGTCACCGCCTGGGCCTGTCTGGGTTGCAGCCTCCCCACCCCACACACTTACAGGGCTGCAGCCCCTTCCACGGCATCCCCGCCACCCCCGCCACCCACCTTGCGGTCAGCAGCTGCGGGGCCTCCTGGTCGCTTAGTTCCTGCCGGTGCCATGCTTGTGTGATGTGTGCCTTCATGTGAAAATAGCACTATTTGGTGATACAGATATATGGAGTTGTTATACCCTACCCGTTCAGTTCCTTTTAAATAAAATGAAAAATAATCCCAAAGTGCATTATGCAGGATAAATCACGAGGGCAGTCTCCCTCTGGTCACTGGCTGCCCCAAATCCCTGCCAGATGGTCAAGCAGAGCAGCTCATGTTCCAGCAAACTACAGAACCTCATTAGGACTCTGGCTCATGTTTTTAGCCTCCAGGCCTCATATGAGGCACTGGTGATTTCTTAAACTTGTATGACAGTATAATGAATGCATGTTTGTGGCATGTCCAACGAAATGGGAAACAATCAGTGAATTCTTTGCATATTTTATTTTTCTTTTTTTGATTTCCAACTCACACACATCTGGCATATTTTACATCTTTGCAAGAAAACATGGTTACAATAGCTTAAGGAATTTATATATCCAAAATATTTCACCATGATCTCAAGATGAAATGAACTTGTCTTCCAGATGTTCAGTATCCTCCCAATTCTAAGCTACAAACTCAAGATATTGCTTACAGCCTGGTGATGAATAACTTAATCGTTACACTGATTCCCCATAATTTCAGAATTTCATAAATACAAACAACAATGAAGAAGGAATAATTCAGTGCTAAACTTACTAGTACAAGGTGGATAACAAATAAGTAATCATAATCACATCAATAAATAATGATATGTTTCTGGTGCAAAGTGTCAATACAAAGAACCCATTATTTTGTTTTATCTTTTTAAATAAATGACTGCAAGTGAGTGTAAATTCTGAGAAAATTACATTCCTGTAACATGCCTCATAGCCCTACCGACACAATATGTACATCTATGACGATACAGTCACCAAATATACAAAGAAGAAACATGAATAAAGTGTATATACCCCTGGGTGTATTACTTGATCAGTACAATGTATGGAAAATCATTTGACAGCCATCATTTTATATCATAAAAGATGAAATGCCTTAGGCTAAGAATGTGGCTTTAGGTGAGAATTTCACAAGAACCTAAAAGAATAACTTCATTTATTCTTGTAATAATGTCTGAACTTTTACTAAAGAAACCTAAGCTATTCAAAAACCAAAGAAGAAAAAAATGTGAGCATCTTTCTCCTCCTCTAATGCATATAAACAAAGCCAGCGGGATGACTCTGCAAGAGACATGTGGGGAAGTCTTTACCATGGAACTAGTGATCATGACTCCTGTTTTTACAGTCGAAACCAGGACCTCATCCCTAAGCCCCCTTTCTGCTGTGTCTTCAAATTATAAAGGGTAGGGCTGAATTTTCTTTGTGTAAAGTACCAAAAATGGCAAATAATGGCTTACTATCCAAATGACTTATGAGCAAATTTCACTTAGAAGGGATGAACTTAAATTAAAAAGTGCAAACCATATTTTGGTGAAAATATAAAAAGTATTGATTGAGCCCCAATTCCACCCTTTCCTACAAGCTGTGTCCTTGGACAGGTCTTTCTGCTTCGTAGTGTGAATGCACTGTTCCATCTAGACATCAGGAGTAAAGAACATGCAAGTGGTAACTCCACAATAAAATTAAGAAACATTTTGTTCTTTATACAAGGTTTTACTTTTACAAAAGTATCCCTTTAAATAAGATGCATCTGATGTACAAAGTATCAAACGTGTTTTTATTTTTATTTTTCTCAGCTTGAAAAGAGGCTGGAAATGGGATGCAGGTTAGGTTCAAAGCTTAATAACTGGACACAAGGTTCCTCAGATTTGTCAGAAGTCTCTTGTGACACATCCTATAACCTTTTCTTAAGAAACAACGATATATGAAATAATTACCAAAACATCTCCTAATTCATACAATTTACATGATATAAGCTTGCTTGATAGCAGCTCGTGTTCAGTTCTGAAAAAATACACAAAGTAAAATGGCTGCTGACTACAATGTACAGCTATTGCTGGGTGTGATGGAAGGTACAAACAGAGGTGAATGGAGACGAGTGTTTCCACCAGACACTGCCTTTCCATGCAGCTCTTGTGCTCTCAGCTTGAACTTGGCTTCCGATTCTTCATTTCACTTCAGTATCTGTTCTGATGCTCGTAATGCCACCGATTAAAATCTATATTGAAAGCTACAATGCTACCAGAAGCCATGCCAGTAATCAGAGTCCTGCAAAAGCAGAGGCAGGAATTAGCAGTGATATAAACTCATGTATGTGGTTGCAAATTTACTCTAGGCAGTTTGTCCATGTTAAGTTTGCTCAGTCCTGGCTCTGTGTTCACTCAGAGAGGCCTACGAGTTTGTTTTGTTCTCCTTGAAGGGGCCAAACCAGCCCTGCTCACATCTGGGTGGTCACGCCCACGTGGAGAGCACTGGACAGACTCGCTGGAGTCCAGTCTCCACTGTCACCTGGGCTGCTCCTGCCTATCCACTGCCTCCTTGGGCCGCACGCTGGGTCTCTGAGGAGTTCTGCACCCCCCCCTATCTCACCCCACCCCAACTCTCCAGCCTTTCTCTCCGTAGTCTCCTTTGATCCCCACACCCTTTAAACTCACACTCCATGATTCCTGGTGCAGGCACATGTGACCACCACGTTTTCTGAAGCCACAGACGCCCGTGTCCCTGTGCCTGTGGGATGTCTCTGCCTACCGGATGACAGCAGGCTGTGTCACAAGAACTTCGGACTCAACCTGTGCATTGTGAGTCACTGTCTACCTACTGGCCTGGCTGGTCAGGTCACACTTGTCCTTTCTTCTTTGTGTCTTATAATTAATGAGCCATCCGGCAGGGTCCCTGCCCGGCCTCTCTGCCTCCGTCTAAACTCGGGGCTCACAACCTGTCTAGATCAAGTGTGCTTAACTTTTAATCCAAATCCTTATCATAGACATGCCAATCTGTTGATACATGAGTTTATCATTTTTATGTATGTACAATTGGGGACACTATAAAACACTGGGGACATTATAAAACAGCAAAACTATGCTGGGCGTGCTGGCACATTGCCTATAATCCTAGCACTTGGGAGACTGAGGCAGGGTGATCATCATGAGTTCAAGGCCAGCCTGGGCTACACAGTGAGACCTGTCTTAAAAACAAAACACAAAACAAACCTACAAAAAACCCCAGCAAGAACAATCAAAACTCAGAATAAAATTAAATATAAATGGAAACTTAATTGGCATCTGTCCTTGTTCCACTTAGAGACCCTGAGCACTACGGACTCTGAATACGTGGTGAGCTCCCGTGCCCACGCCTGCTGAGCGGGCGCACATCCTCAGGGCCTCCCCTGCCTTCCCCGGCCCTGAGGGAGAACGGTCACTTCCCACCTCTGCCGCTCTCTCCCTGCTTCTCCCATGCACGACCCAACATTTCGGGGCAAGTCATCTTATTCTGTATCTTGAGTACCTGGTATATTAATACTTCAAATGCGGAGGTGGCAGCAAATATTTGCAGGTGAGTATATTAAAGAATATTAGTAAGAACATATAAAATACGAAAGAAAATAAAGTATTTCAAACACTTTAGGGATATTCAGATATGTAAAAATAATTACACAGCAAAGCGTTGCCGTCTATTCCCCAGTGTGGGTAGCAGTACTGTGGAATACTCTAATGGTAACCTTACACTTTAAAAACGATCTGCCGCAGAACAAGCAACCTTTCCCCAGGCTAAATTACATTCTTTATCTTGATGACTTCAGTATCATTTCACTGTACCATAAAGATGCTCTGTTACATTTACTATATGTCCTAACATTTAGAATGTTTAACAATCAATGTTCTTATAGGAAACATTTTGTATATTTTAAAAAACTGGCTAACAAGCTTTTATTTAAATACATAGCAATGATATATAATGTGCTATTATAAAATTGTAGGGTTACAGTTAATTTTTTTAGTTTAGAAACTTTAGGCTTTACATTTCTTATATTAGTTTCATTTTACAATAAATGCAAAGATGAATTTTAGGGTGTAACAAAATCTTGATGCAACCTGGAAGCTAAGGAAAATTGTATCAGTTAACATTTGTATCTACTCTCCCCAAGAAAGGATTAAAATTTTTTATAGGACTATTGGAAATACAACAAAATAACATAAATGAAAAATAAGTGAATAAGAAAATGGGAGAAAGAATTTGCTTCAGGTAGTGAGTGCGTGTATTTTGTATTCTGTAGTCTACAAGTATGCATTTGGCGGGAATTTGGTTAGCTGGTTTCCCCTGAAGTGTTCCCTTCACACAGTCTCAGCCAGGGAAGACCTGAGACGAGCAGAGGCTCTGACACGGAGTGCTGGTGCAGGAAGCTCTCTGTTCGGGCACCAGACCATCTAGGGTGCTTTCTTGTTTGCTTTCCGTGTTGCTCCTGTCAGAGCCCTGCTTCACGGCGCTGCCCCCTGCTCAGTCTCCCCTTCCTGCACTGGCCTTTCTTCCCTCTGGACACTAGGATCTTATTCGAGCACCTTTCACCCTTGGGGAGGCAGAAACCAGCTTTCGATGACCCTTCTTGTTGAGTGCTTGCCCTTGCCATGCTCACCTCTGGTCGTGGGACAAGTCCATCGCTCGAATGCCAGCATCACATCCAGGGTAAATGTACAGCTGCTTGAAGTCACAAGCCTGCCAGACCTCCACCACACCATTGTCCCCTCCCGTCACCAGGTTCTGGCCATCGCTGCTCAGGAGAATGGCCTTCAGAAAAAACACAGTAAACCAACATTTCTTTCAAAGTCAGTGGTCACTGCGAAAAAGCACTCAGTCTATTCCATTATAAGCATTAGCTCCTGTTAGCCACTTGTCTAAGTTTGCTAAAGTACCATCCATATAGACTTTCTAGTGTGGAAGACATAGACGTCTTTATCCTGATGAAGGATCTGGTTAAAGCCTGTTTAAATGATAAAAGTCTCAGAGATTATTATCCAGGTAATCCAGGAAGAACTCGAGAATTAAATAACACAATGCTTTATTAAATCCTGAACACAGGGAATTTTAGAACAAAGGGCAGAGGATATTTTAGGATATTTTACAATATCAAGGAACTAGCAATTATAAACTATTTGTGAATGAAGGACAATTAGATGCTTGTCATTTTGGTTTAGGTTTCTAAAGATAGGACTCTTCTACCACGGACTCATTTTTAGAGCTGAGAAGGTGCAGTGCTGAAACACTGTCTTCTTACCGTTCTGACCTACAGTCAAACAACACGCCTAAGTCACCTGAAGTCTAATTCGCTGAGTTGATTATTTAGGTTTAGTCAAAGGAATTCTGCATGTGTTCAAAGTATCAATCTATATGAATTTATATATTTTCTAAACTATCATGCATTTGTAAAGATGTTAGAGAAATTTTACTATGAGTCATCTTCTCTAATCCACTGCTTCCTTCCCTTTTTTTTGTACCAAGCATGTAGATTTACCTTTGTTGAATCATTGATCTCCATTTGGGCCAAAAGCTTCCCATTAATGCTGAAATTGCTGAACCGCCCTCGCTCATAGTAAATGATACAGTGACCCTCACTGGATACGGAAATCAAGCGTGGGAACAAGCAGTTTTCTGGCCCTTCGAGGGCTCTCAGCAAATCTCCAGTGATGGTGTGAACAAGGCAGGGGCCCTCTGCAGAGTAGAAATATCAGTGCCTGCAGTCAGTTAATGAACAGATCGCACACTTACGCTCATCAATCCAAATCCTTACCTGGCAGTCAAGCAGATTTGTTAGGAGACGAAAATGAGTAGGGTATGCTGGCCAGAGTAAGCAGTGGATCGTGTTTGAATAGAGCAAATACAAAGCAGCTGTTTAATAATAAGGTATGCGCACATCTACAAATGTTTATCCTTCATCAAATCACATTCTTAGTGATAGGACAGTTCACAGATTACGTGACAATAAAAGATTGTCTCAGAAAGTTTCTCTTAATTTGCTTCAGCAGTTTTTCTTTTTCTTTTTTTTTATCGGTACCGGGGATTGAACTCATGACCATGCACTTGCAAGGCAGGCACTTAAGCCTGCTGAGCCAAATCCCCAATCCCAAGAATGTAGCTTTCAGTTTTCACGAGAGAATTCCTTTTTTTTTTTTGTATCAGTACGGGGGATCAAACTCACTACCATGTGCTTGCAAGGCGGGTGCTTATGCCACTGAGCTAAATCCCCAGCCCTTCAGCAGTTTTTCTTAACCTATGGATATCATTCAATGGTGGAGTGCCTAGTTAGCACACATGAGGCCATGGGTTCAATTCCCAGTACCCCTATCAAAAAAGAGTTTAGGAGAATTATCAGAAAAGCTACTGAGTTTCTCTAGTAGCATCAGAAAGTTAATACTGCACTACATAAAAACATTGTCTTTTTCTGTAATCTATAGTTAAAATGTAAAAGTAAAATTAAGAAATTAATCAGGTCACTCATGCTACAGAAAACATGTTTTGTCTCCGAATTAACAGTGAGGCAAAAGTGTAAAATGAGGAGGAGGGAGAACATACTTTGCACAGTTGTTTTGAAGGATTTTGTACTTGTAGAAATTATGTGATAAGATAAAAAACCACTACTCATGTTCATGAAAGTAAGTGCTTAATACAGGTGCTTAAAGGGGTTGGGGATTTAGCTCTGCGGTGTAAGCACCTGCCTGGCAAGTGTGAGATTGTGAGTTTGTTGCCCAGTACAAAAAGAAAAGAACATGGGCATATAGTTGCTTAATATAATAAGTGCTTAACATAATACTGATTAAATGCTTAATATAATATGTCTGCCTGATTGCTCTATTCAAACAAAATAAACACAAAAATGAGGAGAACTGCATTTTTATTGTTTACTCAATTGATTTGAGTAGGTATGAATTTATAAAATAGGGGACATTACAAAACTATAAAACATTTTCCCCACTTACTAAAATAAGAGCCTTAGAGCATGAGGAAAAAAGAGAAAGGAAATCGCCTCTGTTAACACCCACTACTTACAGAAAAGTAATGTTTTTTTCCTACATCTACTATGTGTCACATACACTTTTATATAAAGATAAGATACCTTGTAACCTTATAATATCTCAATATCCACAAAGCAGAGAGAATTAGCTACAGCAAGCAAATTGAATCATTTCATCACCTTGACTAAACTCTTCAATGACCTGGGCACAGTGGCCAGGCCTGGAAGGTCAGCACTCCCAGCCCGGGGGATTCAGAAATTTAGTGAGACTTCTCAAACGGAAGTGAACAGCTGGGGGCACAGTTCACTGTGAAGGCCTGGATTCAACCCCCCAGTACAGGGAGGAAGAAAGTCAGGGATTACCCATTATAGCGAGAATACAAAAATGGGAATCTTTGTTCCAGTGGCCCCCTCTGTGCCCTCACCCGCCTCCCTCTGCGCCCTCCCAAGCTCCAGTCTGGGGGTCCTTCTGGTTTCTCGCCGGGACCAGGCTCCCTTACTTTTGAGTCTTCCCATGGAGGAACTACCTGACCCAGAATTGGGACCTATGGTTCCTGATTTTTCCTCAAGTGGTACTTTCATAAAAAAGACAAAAGATTCCTATGATCCTGTTTCCCTTCCACCACCCTCTGCACAGTGCTGAGGCTCATAAAGCAAGGGACTTGCAGAGCAAGTGGATTCAGGGCCAAGTCTGAAGAGTAAAGGGACCCCCAACCCCACTGCATCAGGAACATTTCCCCTTGTCCTTTAAGTATTGTTTTCAATGGCTGCATCTGTGGAAGTTCTGCAATTTAATTTACCAGTGTTATGATTAGAATGCTGGTGAGCACAAAATGCTACATAAGCTTTGATGCATATTAGTACTAGCAAATATTAATAAAATTAAACAGCTGCAAAGAGCTAGGGATTCCACTTTTCTGTGGATATCTCCTGGGAGAAATAAATCAAAGAACACAGCTTCAGACATTGGCACATTTTCTAAAGATTTAAAAATATAATAAATGACTTCTAACCTTTAGCACCACTGATAACAAGTCCAAGTTCTGCACAGACAGAAACACAGACAACTTCATGGTCGTGGCCTGTGAGGACGGCTCTTGGCGCAGGATAGTCACCTGCAAGAAGACAGCAGTGGGTCACCATGAGGGCCAGCAGACATAAAAGCTGCACCAGTGAAGCCCACATTTTATAAAACAATCACCCATGACTCGTAAGGACAGGGACTAGCTATGTGACCTTAGCCAGTCAACTCAAACTTTCTGCTATTCCTCTCATGACATAGCACAGGTATTGTACCCATTACCCAGGCTATTTAGATGACGTGATACATATGTGTTTAGAATACATGACAGTACTGATGGCTGTTCTTTTCTTCCTGACTACTATTAGTAGCCAAGAATACTAGCTGCCATGGCTTTTGTATGTGCTATTTCATTTCATTTTGGTAATATTTTTATTACCCTATGGACCCATGGTTTTTCAGGGTTATTCAGCTTTCCAAGTTCAAACAGCTAGCAAGTTTTGCATTAGAACCAGAGTTTTCTAATTCTGAAGCTCATGCTCTTACTTATTTAAAATTGTTCCCTAATCTCAGAAGAGGTGCTTTCTTTTGCTGGGGAAACAGGAAGTGGTGTGGGGAAAGTAGTAAAGGAAAGAAGGAATATCTTAATTCTCAACTGGTACAAAGCTAGCTACAAAGTCCAGCTGGATTGTATTCTATAAGCGTTTTCACTGCGAAGTACCCTCACAAAATGAGGCGTTTCTGTAAGTGAGCTAGGATTTGGAAGTATGAGGAGGTATAAACTGTAACACGGAACTGTTGAAAACAATAAAAGAATCAATGCCTTCCACTTAAAACACTCAACCATAAATGTGAGGAGAAATAAATGTGTGCCCACAGAGTAGCGCAGAGACCACAGCAGTCTCAGTGTGAATGAAGGGAAAATCAGAGCACTGGGTGAATAAAGCGCACTGGCCTAAGACAGCATTTGCCTGGGCTCAGCACACTTGAACAGGCATCATGACCCACACTGTACTGGCTGTTGGGGTAGGCAGTGTGGGATGGGAATGAGGAGTCGGCCAAGTCTACTGGTTTAGGAAGGTGGGGAAGGAAGCAGGAGAAAGAGGAAATGGGGAAGGAAAACGGAGCACGGCACCGTGTCGAGTAGGGTTCTTGTGATGGGTACACATTTATCTATTGAAGACACAGGACAGCACACATGGCTTTTTGTAGATACATTATAAATACTTAGTGTGTAATTGTATTTTAAGACATTATTTAATTCTAAAAACAAAGGAAAAGCAGGTAGCTTTGGAGAAGTTGCCAATGTCAGCTGTGAAACTTGTAGAAAAATTAGTCTATATTAAAGTTTCTCAATCTTCTAAGATATATTGATCCCTTTCAAAGTGAACGAGATTATCACTAACTTCAAAAAGAATAAAAGGGGAAATGGAGGGAGGAAAAGAAGAAAAAATTTAAAAGAAGATAAAGAAAGAAAGCAAGCCGGCCAGCTAGTCAACCAGCCAGACAACCAGCAGGTGACCAAATATTAAGCCCCACTGGGGAGAATATGAAGAACCATAAAGTGAGGTAAGGACCAGGCAATCAGAAAGAAGAATGTGGAACATGTAGTAGCAATGCACTTTGGACCCCGTCCACTTAATTAGCTTCAATGAACATTTATTGATACCTGTATTATCCCATTATTTCCATTTTCCATTAACGTCACCGCACTTGTTAAGGCCTTATCTTGTCTGTGTTCTTCATTCTACTATTTGTCTTTTAGTTTTTAAAACAGTTACACCAAACTCATATTTATGATATTAGTTCACCTTGCATGTATTTGAGTCTACAATATCACTTTAGCAAAGATCAAATATACATATATGTATGTCACTTTTTCAATTTAATTAATCATTATTTTTTCTCCTTGAAAACACTTGCTTGTAACTTCGTTGGACAGTTGCAACTCTTTCAGAATTCTTGGTATTTTAATGTAGAGTTTATGTCTATGTATCAGAGATCTGTGAATATTTTCTTGAGGGTAAGAAGTTCTATGAAAAATTTAAAATATCAGGTTTGCATTTTGATGATACTCTAAATGTCTTTAAGCTAGTTCTAAAGATGAAACCTGTCTTTTCTATCATAATCTATGCTATAATAAATTCTTTTTCTTGCTGAGGGAATTTACAAACCAATTTTGTTAGTATTTCTCAAAGTAGGTGCAGGGAGGCCAAGCACACACTTGTAAGAGTTTGGGTTATATGCTTCCCTCTCTCCCTCCTGCTTCCTTTAGTGCTAACGATGGTTTTGAAAAGGGATCAGTGCATAATGCAAGCTGAAGGAACACTGCTATGGAATGATTTACTCCCAAACTCACAAATTCCTTTTAAATGGGCAGCTTCCACACAGCTACTTTTCATTGTTTTAAGATTTTAAAAATGTTGATTACATATTAAGTATACGTACTTCATACACATAAAACATATGTGCTATAAATACATATAAAACATATACAAGGGGTGATGATTAAAATATACGGTGAACATTTAAATTAAAATATGTAGCACCATAAAATACTTGCCCTCACTCGGGACACGCTTATCCCTTCATTCTTGGTACTTTCCAAAACAGTTCTGGAAACCCTCTTTTATGAGGTACGATGAAAAATACAGTGGATGCTCCTGCTCAGTGCCAGCCAACGGACAGGCAGGCTCACAAAAACGTTACGGTGTGTTGTCACCCACCTTTTTCACTGGATTTGCTGCCATGTGACTCTGACTCTTCCCCAAAGTCAAAATGATCATGAAAGGTAACCGTTTTGAGTGACTTCAGGACACAAAGGCAACAACAGTGCAACTGAAGACACTCCTAGAGGAGAACTTCCGGAATGTTCCAGAAAGCAGTGAGAGAATGGGAGGGTGCTTTGCGGGTTAATGCAACGTGTCCTGTACTATAATAAAATTTCAGTATTCGTTGTATTTTAGGGTCACATCCTGTATGTTTACACATGTGCATACACACACATTGAACTTCCTTGTACTTGCACCCCCAGCTTAAGAAATACAGAATATTTCTAGTAACCTCGATGTTCTTTCTTTTGTATCTTAGAGAACCAGACTTCTTTCCCCCTCTGTTTATTCTGTATCGATCAGATGAGGGTGTTCAGCTTGCCATCTTTCTTTCCGAGCGCATGAGCTCCCTGTACGGTGCCCACTTTTGTCTGTGGATCACAGTCTGGAAGGCGGGAGGCCCTGTCCTCCACTCTGCCCTGCCTTGTCTCTCTGCTCTGGTCTTGGCATGCCTCTTTCCCCTGTCCCTGCCTGTGGGGACGTGAACACCCAAGCGCTGACAGATGTGCCTGCCCTGTGCACCTGACACTGATGTGACCCTTGTCACTGGAGTACTGGCTGGCTGGCCTGCTGTTCTCATCCTTTTCCTCTTAGGGGCAAAAGGAAAAAAATCTATCACCTAGCAAGCACCCAGCACTCCCCATTCAGGGCCAGCATATCCTCTTCCTTAAGAGGTACCTCATGTTCTGTCTCCCAGGAATTTCTGTTTTCTGTGAGCTTCCTGGGACCCATCAGCTTCCATTCTGCTTTTCATTTGTTTGACTTTTTATTTTCCTCCTCCTCCTTCTTTTACTTCCTTTTGTTTTCTGAGACATGGTACTGTTATGGTAGGGTTCCAGGGGTGTGCCACTATACCAGCTTCATCACGCTTTTGAGGCATCTCTAAGACGGAGTGTGTGAGAAGGGGGCTGGAAGCCCGCTCAGTTTGCCATTTGACCTGAACCTATGCATACTGCAGTAATGGGTTTAAAATTTTACTGTTTATTTATATTTTCAGTAGTTCTGGATTTGTCTGAAATATAATCACACAATTTATAGGATTGTGTTTCTAAGATACTGTGAATTCTCTGGTAAAATAAAGATTAAGGATTTCATGTACAATACTATCTTTAAGTGATTATTTTATTTTGGAAAGATATACACTAAAAAATCCTGAAATTATACATGTAATAGAATTTATATAAAATTTTATGGAGTTTTTGAGATTTTTTCCCCCCTTGTATACTGTAGTAAAAATAAAAGGGAATGTAACTCTATGGCAGGGAATTCAGAAGAATAAACAAAAATACTGAAAAAATTCCTTATGTATATTATATATCTCTACTAGGAAATACATTTTTAAATGCTTGTGTCTTAGAGAGCTGAAAATTTTTTCATTATAATTTCCCTAGGTGATCTAAATAAATGGCAGAACTTAAATATTAAGGAATATTGTTAGGGGCCCTGAAAACATTGTTTGTTTTTATAGCGATCCAGTTTAAGCTACAGGAAAGTAGTATAAATATAATGTTATTCTGGAAATCTGCAGCAAAGAGAGAAAGCGTATTTCCTATATTTCATGGCCAGAGACAGATGTCACACACCCCAACAATCACTCAAAATCTTGGAAATATCGTCCGTCACTGTCACATCACAAGTGATGGATGCAGCTCCAGGTTAAAGGGCCTGGTGCAGAGGGAGGTGCAGGTGAGACCTTCCCCCTAAGGATCCCGTGCCCTTGCCCTCCGCCCCACCCACTGCCTCCATGGAAGAGCTCTGTGTGATGGAATCGAGACGAGAGATATGGAATAAAAACATATGCTTCTGAAATTCCTCATGGGGAAGCACTTGCAAATTTCAAACATAAAAGCTTAAAAAACTAGCCCATCTCACTTTTGTCAAAAGTTACCTCAAAACTCTTAAATCAGAAAAAGTTAACAAAGGTATTAGATGCTGCTATTCACAAACTACTGCCAAGAAGTGATTTTCAGTGAGATGGTCGATGGTGTTTAGAAAGATGATCAGAGTAAAGACTAATCATTGCTCACTTAAACCTCATCTTCAAGCTGCTTCCATGCAGGAGGTGCTGATTCTTCTGAATCAGGCTGAACAGCACCAGTGGGGGGTCTCAGAGACCTGCCTTCCTCAGCACACTTGGGCTGCAGTCACAGAATGAAGCTCTTGGTGACATCTGACATTCACATTTTATTTCTGACCTTTGTGAAGTCACTGTAGAATCATGGAAATAGCTGTTTTCATTCATGTTTCATGTACATAAAATATG